AAATACATTTTCAACTATTCATACTGCAATCCCCACCAACCCACATTACATACACCACCAAACAATCTAATCACACACAATTTGATCACAGAATTTAACACAAATTTTTATATTGAAGTGAGAGCTACTCAATATATAAATCTCGTCTCACATTAGAACATTGTACTTAATTCATAGAACATTGTACTTAATTCTGTGATAAGATTCTGTACCTTAGAAGAATTGAAATCTACAACATGCTATCTGCCTTAGCAGGCAGTCTCTTGAAGAAGGTCACAGCTCTTGAAGGCAACTTGCTTCTGAACCTCGGTGGCCTCAAAAAGTACAACCCCAAGCAGCCACCACCCACCTAATCGGCACCAAGTAGAACCCAAAAGCACCCACCAAACAAAACACCACAAACAAGAACGTCGCCCTCGGATCGCGCCAGCTCAGCAGCGCTTCAAACCTCTCCCCTTGTGTTGCCATGTCCCCGATCACCGTCTGAATCCGCCCTGCCACGCTCCTCAACCGATCATACCTCATCCGAACCATGTCCGCACTCCGAGTCGTTGGAAACGAATCAAACTCTTCATCCAACTCATCCACACTCACACGACCTTCCGCGCAAGACAGCCTGGTGTCCATGTGGGGTGGGTAGCGAGGCGCGAACGGTACCGCCAGATTCCCACTAGTGCCATGATAACGAGTACAATAGGGAGTATGAGTTCCCGAGCCCAAACAAGAAAGACAAATGATAACATCGACAGAGTCGAGTACACCGGCCTATCCCAACACCGCATAGACTCCACGAATCGGACTATAGAAATCACACCAGAAACCGCATTATTTAGTCGGAAAAAATTGGCCCTGCTCTTTCTCATGCTCCACATGTGGGGATCGTGGTCAAGCTATACTCAACCACATCCCGCCCTAAGCGGCTCGGCTCTATTGAGCCGAGCCACTACTACATTTACAGCCTGGTACCTCAGAATTTCCAATTGGTTAACTGACAAAGGATTCACATAATGCATCTTTGGAAGCAATGGCATTGTGTAGCTATGTAGTACATTAGCCATATTAGTACACGAAAATCGGACTGCCAAATGAAGCTCCCCCATTTTCTTCACCCCGGAAGGGTGCAACATAATCAAAGGATACGAGTGCGTATACACTCTATCCGATTCAAGGGTTGATAACCGAATTCGAACTTTACCGATGCGCAAGTCACGCGCACCAGCATTGCTCGTATTCTTATCGACCCTAGAATTATCAACACCCCAACAGTAATCACCGTACACGGGTCAAAAACTTCCCACGTGTACTGCTCGTTCCATTTTGGCGCGAAACTATCAACCACCGTGCGAGTTCTCACCCACTTCTGCCCATACTTGGCCACGCAATAGGCGTCGACGGAGCCGCCACGGCCCTCCTTGACCTTCATCGGCATCAAATTAGTAGCCCCAAAATCCCCAGTTCAAGCACACCAATGTGGGCTTCCAAAGCTGCTTGGCAGTAGGCCTCAAATCACTGCTATACATTGTGGATTCATCAAGCACATGGTATCCACCATCGAACGAGGCTTTGAGATGAATCCGAGAACCAAATCTCCCCGCCAGTTTCGACTCTCCCAAATTGTTTGAATGAATGTCGAGATTAAACCACCGCGAATTCACCGGTTTATCGTCTAATTCCGCTCGATCGTAGTCACAGGGAGAAGAACTCTCCCCACAACTTCGTCCGTATTCGGGGCAATTCGATCTTCAATCGAAACCAATAGATAGTCTTCAAATGGCTCTGCGACAACAAACATCAAATCTTCCTTCCAAAATGGGTTCGAGAAGCTTCGATTATTCGGTGTTGTTGGAGATATGATCTGGTTCTCAAAACTTGATTCCGACTTGGACTTTTGCTGAAAGCTCTGGATATCTCATCAATGAAGAACCTTTCTCTCCCAAAACAATGTCTTGAGCTTCAATTACAGAGACTCTTAATACCATAGCTTTGGAGAGAGATAAACCTTTGATTTGATCGAACTGAGACCATCGAAATGCACATTGGCGGCTTTCGAATGCCACGCTTCGGCGAAGAATTCGTCGCCTGAGTTCCGAACCAAATGGCCGCCATTAACTCGCCGGTTTTTGTCGATTTCTCGCCCTTTTTGTCTTCCATTCGATACCATTGAGGAGCTAACTGACTATCTGGAGGAACCCTTTTGGGGACTTCGTTTAAATCGAACCAAACACGGCCTAAGAAATCATCTTTATTTCTTCTTTCAAAAAAATTTCCACCGTTGATGATTGCAAACAATCTTTTGAAAATGCGAAAACTTGGTTCCATTCGGCATGGTTTGAACTAACCCTTTTCGTGATTCCTCTGTAGTTTCCGAGTTTCACTTCCGCCACCACTTCTCCGCCGCCAAACACAGCGATTTCTCGAGCCTTCACGACTCTAACATACAGATACTGCATTTGCTCGACCAGATCATAGGTTGAGCTCGTTTTATCTTTGTTTCCGAGGTGAGGACTAGTCTCTTTTAGCGAGAACTCGTTCGACCCAGTAGAGTTTACACCAAACCCACCACCGCTTGCGGTGGTGATGATAACAGGCTTCATATCACCTGGGTTTGGCATAGTAGGCTTGGGATTTTGCGGATTTTGGTTGTTTTTCTTGTTTTCTTCTTGTTGATTCACCGCCATTGTCGACTCTGCTAGTTGCTGCAACTTCTTGTTCTTCTTCGAAGAAGACGAACCAGAACCAGAACCAGAGACCATACCATTGATGACGTCTTTAACTTCTTCTCGAGTCGATAAATAGAGCTTGAAGCTAATCTCGCCACGGACATGAGAGAAAAAGCTTCGCTTGTCGAGAGTGTAGAGTTGAGCAATCTCTTCACCTTCTCTAGCAATGCTCGACCCTGAAACTCTGACTTTACCCAGAAAATTTCGACTGTTGCTGGACCTCTTCTCGTTGTAGACATTGAGTTCTATGGTTCTGTAAGGAAGTCTGCAATGTTGGTGACATGGAAGACGAGCTTTTGATTCCAGATTGGGTTGAGATCTTTGTATTTGACTTGGGTTCTCTGTTTCTGGTTCTCAAACTCTACTTCTACAAATGGGGAAGACGAACCTTCGCCATCTTTGGGCATCAAGTTGTGGGCTGCCACTACTTCTACCACAAGCTTTTCTTTGTTCAGGCTACAGAGAGAGAGAGAGAGAGAGAGAGAGAGAGGGTGGGTTGAGAGACAGAGAGGAGATGAGAGGAAATGGAGACAAAACGGGTGGCTCAAGAGAACAATAAAGAGCAGAGAGTAGAGCGTCTCACACAGAAAGGAGAGAGAGAGAGAGAACACTACTACGATACAGTGGGGACAGTGAATTGGAATTGGAGAGAGATGAGATGACATGGACTAAGTCCTATCTGTCAAAAGACACTCAGAATGCATTTATTACTGTGCGCGTCTTCTTCACGTAACCCGACTCAAATTATTTACCATGAAAAGGAAAATTCTAGTACTCCCGCCCTCGGTTCCAAAAAAAAAAAAAAAAAAAAAAAAAAAAAGCGGTGTGTTTGATTTTAATTTTTTGAATTTAAATTTTTAGAAATTAAATTTTTTTATTTTTCTATTTTTTGTTTTTATTGAATATTTTTTAAATTTTAAATAATTTTTTTACATTTTTCAATGCACCTTATGTAAATATATCTAACTAGTAAAATATTTGTAAAAAAATATTTTAAAAATAATAATAAATACATAAAAATATGAAAAATGTACTGAATTTTTATATATTTTTATATATTTTTTGGTATTTTGTGTATTTTTTAAAAATTTATTAGATAAATATTATACTTTTTAAGTGTATTTATGTTAAATTTGTCTAAAAATTAAAAAATAATGCTTAAAATGTTAAAAAAAATCATTGAAATCATTAAAAGAAAGATGAAAAAGTAAAATTTTCTAAAAACTGTTTTCTGAAAAACAAAACCAAACAATCTAAATCTTTTTAAGGATTTTAATTTTTTTTGGTGATATAATTATTATATTTTTTAAAAAATAATTTTTTCAAATTATTCTTTGATAGTATATTTTTTAAAGAATATCAATTATTATAATTATACTTTTTGTATTATTGATAAATTTAAAAGAAAAGCAAAATAAGAAATTCAAATTATTTTAGTCTTTAATTTTAAAAAATTGACAAATATTTTGGGATAATAAAAAATGAAATAATTGACTAATATTTTGGAACGGAGAGAGTACATACAAATTGCTAAAAATTGTGCACTTATACTTAGGACTGTGTAAAATAGCGCCCAATCCGCTAAAATCGCACCGATTCGCATTAATCTGTACCGCTCTATCCGCTAACCGCGATTTAAATTTTAAAATTTATAACCCGCCTTTGAAATTGCTCCACGCCGCTGTAG